GATTGCCCAACCTTCCTTCCGAGGAGTGGCTGGTGGGTTTGAACCGCCAGCCTTCTGATTAGCAGTCAAGTGCCTTAGGCACTATGCCACCAGAGCTCCTAGAAGGGGATTAGCACTCATAAACCAAGAGAAGGGATGGTTAAACACCAGAGGGCAGAGGAGCCTCTTTCCTCTTTGCAACCCCAACACACGTGGCACAGAGCTCGGCACAAGAAGCGGGCGACCCATGGGCACCAGATAAAGTGCAGCACTGTAAAAGCACTTTCTTTTCTAAGTGAACAACGCAAAGGCCATGTGCATGAATTAAGACCCGCGGGCATAAATTTTGTCTTTCAAGCCACCCAGTAATTCTGCAGGCCCTTCTTCATTTGTAAACACATATTTTGGTTAGGACCACGGAACCGGAGGCCTGGAAGGGACCTCAGCTATCAGCAGGTCCAGCCTCCCCATACAGACCCGGAGACCGAGACCGTGGGGGATCAGTGTCAGCCAAGTTCACCCAGCTGGTGTGGGGTAAGTGCAGGAACCCGCCTCTCCCTACTGACAAGCTCCTTTGAGATGCTCTCTGAAAACCCTGCCTTCCTTACACATTAAAAGCGCATAACGAATACATTCCTTGTCAAGCCACTGCTTACAATTCAGAAGAAGCCAAAGAACGCCAAAATGTGTCTCCTCCGCAGGATTGGACGCAGAGAGCGGGAGGGGAATGTCACTGGAGAATTTCTAGCAGAAGACACCGCACATCACGCCTCAAAGGACTTGCAAACGCGTATGCAACGGACAGTTTCAGGAGCTGCTAGCTATTCCGCAGAGCAAACGAGTTAACTCGGCTGTGCTGGTTCAGAAGCTTCCAGTAATGAATTAAACCGAGCCGCTGCGGAAAGTGGGGAATAAAAGGGCCACTGCGGCAGGAACCGATACCCTGGCTGGTCTCCCCCGGCCTCTCGACGCCTGCAACGGCTTGATGCTTCCACACCTGCGCGGGCATTGGCGCCCCTACCCCTTCTGCGTCGCCCGGGACCACGAGCCTCGGACATCTCCCCGCGGAGAGCGTCTAGGGGCGCCGCACCCGGGAACTGCCGCCGGAGTCTGGGTGGAGCCGCGGGTCCCAGCTGCCTGGGGCTGGGACTGGTTGCTGCTGCCGCCCCCCGCGAGCCCCCACCACGCCGAAGAAGGGGCTGGCTGCGCCACGTACCTTGGCCGGCAGGTGCCGCCGCCACTGCCTCGGTTCGCGGCTGCAGAGAACACCGCTTCGCGCCGGCGGCAGACCTTGTCCGCATACTAGGGAGGGGGCACCGGCGGCCCGCGAGTCCCTGGCCCCGTGCCCCCGCTCGCCCCGGGCACCGCGCTCGAGCCCATTCAGGCCCCGGGCGCCGCTCCCCCGCGCGGATGAGGAGAAGGGGTGCGGGGGGGGCGGAGCTGAGAGTCACGGGGCCGCGGGCAGCCAATCGGAGCACATGGGCTGCTCCTGCAGCGGCCCCGCCCCCGGGACCAGAGCCCCTCGGCCCGCTGGGGTTGAGGGAGCAGAGCACACTGGGGGCTGTGTGCTGGGCTGGACTGGGCTGGGGTTCTTGGGCATCCACCGCGCTCACGAGCATTGCGCGGTTAGACGGTGGAAGGAACAAAATGGGTTTGACAATGCATAGGAATCGTAGATGCGGAGCCGGAGAATGAAGGGTCTTTGTGTAGTCACATGCTTTACTCTCTAACACAACCCATCACCTCCTACCCCCCACGAAAACACACTGGTCCCGTGTCCCTGAGACCTGCGAGACAAACACCAGGGCAGGCCGGGTATATCTGGGGACTAACAGAAAATCTTTTGTTGTTCTACATGTAGGAAAACAGAGCACCCACTGATTATGCAGGGTAATTCACTAGTTTTACAGATAAGGACAACCGAGGCCCAGAGAACGGAAGTGAGTTGCCCTAGGTCATTTGGGGCATTTAGTAGCAGAACCAGAATCACAACCTGGGCTTGGGGCACCCACTTCCATACCTCCAAAGCCTCTGTTGATTCTGGGGAGGAGATGCCATACAATTTCAAAAAGCATAAATATTACCGAATTCCAAAATTCAGGAATTCAAAAGAAGAGCATAAAGCACTGAGAAGTTATTTACTTAACACAGTCGAGCATGCGTTATGTACCTGCAACTTATGTGCCTAAGTTATGTGCCTTAGAATTTGCTGAGGCTTCAGTGAAGCTAATGTAGTTGGTCTACTTTCAGAATTTCCTTTAAAGTTGACAGACCCCCATGGTGGCTTTGTGTCTGTGATACCCAGGGTTTGAAAAGGATGATCCTAGACAGGGAGCCACGTTTATAAACTGAGAGAGAGCCTTGTCACTTTTGGCTGCTGGTTTGGAGATATCTCTGTTCTTCCCAGATTGGGAACGAGGGTGGTGGGAAAAATATGTGGGGAACAAAAATCAGGAGGGAAAGCTTTGGAAAGGGGGTCAAAATATTTTTTTGCCACGAAAAGTATTTCCAATTCAACTAAGATGAGGACAAGAGCATTTTGAAAATACCAGAGGGAAAACTCACTGAGAGATCTAAATCCAGTGGGTTGGCCAAGGCTGGATAGGCAAAGCAGCTGCCTGAGTCAGTGACAGCTGCAAGTAAAATGCTGAGCACCTCACCCCCTCTTGGAGACCAGCCCCAGGCCTGCCTGCTTGATCAGACCATCTTTATTTCTCCGCCTCAGCGGCTCCTTCTCTTTCTCTTTACTCCCAGGTACCTCTGCCCCCTTGCCATCTATCAATCTTCCTCCTTTTCTCTTCCGTATAGCCAAGCCCTGCTAGCATTGTGGCAGCCATGGGAGTCAGCAGCAGCTGGGTTTGGAAGGGTGAATATACCATGGGGGTGGGGAAGAAAGGGAACTTGAAGCTACATCCTGTCCCAGTCTAACAGGGCAGCTGTTAAGGCTGCCTTGTACCCATTACCTCATTCATTCCACAATATGAAGACCCTGCTTGCATATGGTGGGAAAAGAGGCTGACCCACTGGGTAAGATATGAAGTGCCCCAAAGCTTCCTTTCCCTCAGCTATTGTTCTGGATTAAGACAGGGATCCTAGACTAAAATTAGACTGTTGTTGTTGTTTTGCCGTC